TGCTTTACTCAGTCAACCAATTTAACATTAATCTCATCCAGAAACACACTCACAGACACACCCTGAATAATGTTTGACCAAATATCTGGGCACTCCATAGTCCAAGCAAGGTGACACCTAAAATTAACCATCATACATACTATAAAGCTGCAGTAAGTAAGACATGTGGTTTTGGAAAGAACAACAGACATGAACAACTACGGAACAGAAGAGTCTAGAATAGACTCAGAAATACAGTCAAATTGTTTTTGGCAAAGGAGCAAAGGCAATTCAATGGAGAAAGGACGGTCTTTTCAACAAATAGCGCCAGAACACCTGGATAGGCAAAACCAAACAAGCAAACAAAAATCCTCAACTTCCACCTCAAGGTGTATCCAAAAATTAACTCCGAATGGGTCATAGATTTAATTGCAAAATGTAAAACGATAAAAGTCTTAGAAGAAAACATGAGAGAACATTTTGGCAGCCTTGGATTTAGTAGAGTTCTTGGGTAAAACACCAAAACCATAATCCATACAAGAAAAAAATGGATAAACTTCATCAAAATTAAAAACATTTGCTGCGCCGGCTCCCGCCGAGGGTTCGGATCCCACATACAGACCGGTTCCCGCTCACTGGCTGATATTTGTTGTGCCGGCTCCTGCCGAGGGTTCGGATCCCACATACAGACCGGTTCCGCTCACTGGCTGAGCGAGGTGTGGGGGCAACGCCGATGGTTGCGATCCCGTTGCCGGTCCCAGTCCGGTACGGGCACGACACTGAGGGTTGCGATCCGTTGCCGGACACGAAAAAAAAAAAAAAAACATTTGCTGTGCAAAGGACACAGTTAAGTGAATGAAAAAAAAAACAAAGCCCAGACTGGGAGAAAAAACATTTGTGAGCCACAAATGCAATAAAGTCCTTGTGTCTAGAATATATAAAGAATTCTCAAAACTCAATAATCAACAAGTCAATGAAAGAAATGGCAAAATATTTGAATAGACACTTCACCAAAGAAGATACGTAAATGGCCGATAAACACACGAAAAGATACTCAACGGCATTAGTTGTCAGGGAAATGCAAATTAAA